AGATTTGGGCCATCTTGTGGGGGAAAAGCAGATTACTTCCTACTCGCGAGCGCCCCCTCTGGTGGGGAAACTTTTTTTCAGGGATACAAACTTTTTCAGAACACTGGTAGACGGCAGCCATTACAGACGAACATGTGTTGTCTGTAATGGCATTAGTGTGTAGAGGAGCAGCCAGGTCACACACTAATGTCATTAGTTTGTTATCATTACTAAGGTGCAGGACTGCTTTTTTTCCAATCATGTCACCTGCCTGGATCTGTTATTATCTCGCTCTGAAGCACGGAGGAGTGTCACTGGTCAGCTTGTTTCAACTGCTTTTTACGTCATGGTCTCATTTCCAGACTCATGCATTTTGTGAATGAAGCCGATATTTCAGTTAAAATACATAAGTAAATATATTTATCAGAGTATAGTACTACCCCCCAACTTAATGGATCATTATATGGATTCAATTTCACGTATTATAYTTGAATAAATACAGTAGTTGTAATTTTGGGACAGCGTTGGCAAATGTGTGCCGCAACCCAAAGAGACGAGATGCTCCTTGTGTCCTGACCCACAACAGCTCATTGTTTGTAGGGTTAGACACACTGATATTGATACCATGTTGCTTAACGGTGGCTCATGAAGTCCAAAAAGGCACATTTCCTGTATTTGGTTTGGTTCAGGGCTCATGTTTCGTCAAACTTTATTACAGCTGGCCCTGTGAGGACCACCAACACTCATGTGGTCCTCAGTGAAAATGAGTTGGACACCTCTGCCCTACACTGAGGAAGGATGACTCAGCAGGTGCTGCTGATCAAATCATCACTTCTACAGAAGTATTTTCTCAGTTGTCTGCTCTGGAGTATCCAGGTGTGTATTAACAGGATGTACTGTATTAACACAAATACTAGAAGCTTCCACATACAGCAACATGTGGCGGTCCAACATACAGGATCTTAGTTCTCACCTGAGTTCACAGATCCTGGACGGTGCTGGCGTGCTGACACAAACATCGACGTGGAAGTCTCCAGAAACTGAAGAAGAGATTTGAAAAAGGTCAGTCTGAAAGTTCACAACATTCAACCTTTAATGTAAACAAAGTTAAAAAGTTAGATATTTACATGTTTTCATTAATTTTTCATTCATTTCTATGTAAGCCTCTGAGAATCTATTTCCTCCTCAGAGGCAGTCCCTGCTCAGCTGTTGATATGTTACACCTCCATTTAGACTCCATCTTCTGAAATTATAACMTCTMTTTTCATTCAYGTGCAGAAAACACTCAGATTTTCCCGAGTGTATCCAMAGCTGSATAAAAGGTMCGGACTAACGAGGTGAAATGAAMTCTGATCCGTTTAAAGTGGATCAAATGTGTCAGGTGTGAATGCACCCTGTTTCCAGGACTGAGCAGTGTTCGGTGAACGCATGATTCCCACCTGTGCTATTCTGGTCTTCTTCTGCTGGAACTGACAGAGTCTGAGGATCCGAGCCCCCGACTCGTCATTGAACTGCTGCTGGAAAGGATGCAGCAGCTGCATCTGCTCACCGAAACTGAAGACAAACAGGAAAAAAAAAAGATCAACATGCACCTCTATCTGACATTATTTCTTTTAGAGTTTGAGTTTTTATTCAGTTCTTCATGTAACAGAAAAGTATTTAACAGACATCATCTCCCTGCATGTTTCTGTTGAAATCTACTTTTGTTACTTGGTAGACAAGACTCCTGTCGGACACTTATGATATGATATATTATTATTATATGATATGATATTCAGTAACAGAAAGAAAACTGTTGATGTTCCATATAGAGTTGATGGTGTCGAGATCTGTAGAGTCAGTGAGGTGAAGTTTCTGGGTGTCATCATTGACGAGGGTCTGACATGGAGACCTCACATAAATCATTTAAGAACAAAAATAGCMAAATCCATTGCGGTATTGTACAAAGTAAAGGASTTATTTAATGATAAAGCACTGTTTATKYTGTATAATGCAATAATTGTTCCACACTTAATTTATTGTGTTGATGTTTGGGGAAAAGCGTGTAAAACAATAACAAATCCTGTTTTTATTTTACAGAAAAGAGCTGTAAGAATTATTACCAGAAAACATTACAGTCACTCATCAAATTCATTGTTCCATCAGTTGAAGTTGTTGAAATTCTCTGATTTGGTTGATTATAGTATTTTASCAGTCATATATATGGCTCATAAAAATACATTATCTTCAAACATTCAATCACATTTTGTTAAAAAAGAGAGAGTTGTTACAATCTGAACGGGATAGAGATGTTTGTGAGACCTAAAATTGGAACCAGTTTGAAAGAATGRAGTACCTCAGTCCAGGGAATTAAATTACGGAATAATTTGGAGGATTACGTTAAAAAAGCCAGATCAATGTGTATATTTAAGAAAATGATAAAGGTAAATTTGTTGGGAGAAATATATTTGGGTATAAGGCACGAATTGTTACTCAAGAAGGAATTAATCCTTTATTGTTTTTTCTTTTTTTTGTATGTTGTAAATTGAAGATTTTTTTTGACTGAATTTAAGTAAAAGGGGTAGAAATCATAAGATTATTTTCCTCTTCTGCTACCTTTCATCAGTGTGCATTGCATTGGCAATGCACRCTATTGTGATTCGTTTCCCATCCAAGTCATGTCCAATTTGGCATGCTTCTCCTCCTGCATACTTTGTCCTAGAGCTGCCATTGTAATTTATATCTGTAAAGCCCCTGTGCCAAATGATGGCTGTGCCTTTTGGTGCCTATACAACTTGTAGTTTTTGAAATATTAATGTTTAATAATTTATAATGTGAGTCAATGGAGCCTTGTATTGTTCAAATACTGCCCCCTGCTGTATCTACTCAGTACTGAACGATAGTTTAATGAAATTTAATCTCAATAGTTCAGTGGTTACAATACTAATATGATTGTATTTTGATGTTTTACTATAATGTTGTCCTAATATTGCTCTATTGTTGTAATATATTGCAGTTTAGTGTCAACAATTGCATTGGTGATGTGGCCTCTTTCTGCACACATRCAAACCAACCCCTGGCAATGCCCTCTGCCACAGCTCAAATGGTCTAATGGTTAACTCTATGGACTTTCATGTGGGAGAGAAGGGTTCAAAACCCAGCTACAGTAACTTTAACAAAAAATCTCTACAAACTTCATATTGTCACACAATTATCCTCATTACAAACACCTGCTGACTTGACAAGCACAAGCTGGTATAGAAAACACATTTGAACTTGGTCACAGTTCATTCTGCAAGCCCACTGCTGCAGGTAAAGCCATGCTGCAATGACATGCTACAAAGGCAATGCAAACTTGTTTTTTACATCATAATAGACCATGTCTAGTTTAATTTGATTTTTTTTGTTGTATGTTGAATTTATGTTGTTTTGTTTTAAATGAATAAATTTTATAATAATAATAATAAGAATAAGAATAATGAATATTCTGTGTTCCACAGCGCTCGCTTTCTGTTTATTTAGATTCTTACAGGTCCCCGGTTCAATCGTCACTYACAGAGCTTTAGACTTCTCTACATGTTTGAAGGAATTGCGCACAACAACCTGACACTCTGTTCTCACCTGCACACAGACACCTGTCCAACCTCCAGCAGAGTGAGCGCGCTGATGATCACTGACAGGGATTCAAACGCCAGCTGCAACACAAACAATGTCACAACTTAAAAAGACAATCTACCTTTGGGAAACACTGTGTGTTAAAGTTTTGAAGTGTTGGAGGTGACTCTGCAGCAACGACCGCATCAAACTTTGATGTAAAACTGATAAAGTTACAGCAGGTTGTGTGAACTGGGTGGACAGTTGTACATATGGGGCGGCTGTGGCGGAGTGGTTAGGGGAGTCGTCCTGGAACCAGAAGTTCACTGGTTCGATCCCCCGTCCAGCCGTCTCAGTCGTTGTGTCCTTGGGCAAGACACTTCACCCACCTTGCCTACTGATGGTGGTCAGAGGGTCCGGTGGCGCCGATGTATGGCAGCCCCACCTCTGTCAGTGCGCCCCAGKGCAGCTGTGGCTACAGTGTAGTTWGCCATCATCAGTGTGTGAATGTGAGTGTGAATGGGTGAATGTCTGTTAGTGTAAAGCGCTTTGGGGGTCCGGAGGGACTTGAAAAGCGCTCTATAAGTTCAGTACCATTTACCATATAATTACTTTAGATATTTTGCTAACAGACAAACAGGGTTGATGACAAACATTTTTGCCAAAGTTTGGTATTGCACAATGTTTGTACCTTTAAATGTGCAGACTCTCAGCTAGTGCCACGCAAACGTTTAGCTCAATATTCATAAATTTGGTTAATTTGAGTTAAAAACATTTGTATCTTCCAAAATAAGTACACTTTTGCAGCCATTTTCAATTTATTTTAGCTCTAAAAACGAGCTGTAGAAGTACTGCCATTTATTTCTTTTATTCTTTTCTCCTGTTTTTTTTTTAGTTGGGAAAGGAAGAAACTGTTTTTTCTATCTTTGTAYATAAATGTACATAAGTGATAAGATAGTTTGGGTTTTGTTTAGTATTTTGGTCTTGGTCAATTTCAATAAATCTTTCGTAAAACTCKAATCAGTGTGCTTACATGGCTGCTTGAGTTGTGCAGAAAATGAATTATTTTCATGAATTATTTTCATGTTATGTCCTGATCAACCCTAGAAAAGTTGTAACAATTATTTAACAACTGTCTGAAAGTGAACAAGTGGCGCTGTCAATCAAAGGTAGACACAGGAAGTTATCTGTCAGTGGACTTCGGCTTTAGCTGCTATCATCTTAGAAAAGTAGGGGTCTCTGCAATGGTGTCTTGAATTGTTACACATCCCTCCACATGTACAGCGTTCAAATTTTGAGTGGCTAGCACCTTCCTGGCTCGAGTTATTGGCRTTTATCCAACTGAATYATTCTGGCTAATTCAAGSCCCACCCAAAATAGTCAGTCCGACCAAWCACGTCTTTAACAAACTCCTCCCACACACCAAGAACCTCCCACTGAGTGACTGCAGAGACTCATGTTGAATGATGTGGAACCACTGGTGGAAGATGAAGTGTCACTTAGAAAACAACTTGAATCAAATCAATTTTTTGTGGAGAATTATCTGTTGAGTTGTAGGTGGATTTTTAAATAGTTACTCTAGTTTATACCAGTACTATAACTTGTCGTAAACTTTCAGTAGGATTAGAGTCACCTGTTTGGAGTGGTTGTCCACCATGCTGGAAGAGTCGTCTATAGCCAGACAGATTTGGTACTCTCTCTTGCTGGGCTTAGTCCTCCTTAACCAGATCTTGTCTTTGCGGAATTGACTGGCGATGTAGGGAATGACCTTCCTCATGTTCAGACGCTTCCCTGTGCGGTAATCACCTCTGAGGAGCAGATCACAAAACAACACAACACAACACAACACAAAGCAAAGCAAAAAACAAAACACAAAAAAACAAAACAAAAACAAAAAACAAAACACAAAACACAAAACAAAACAAAAAAAAACAAAACAAAAAACAAAACAAAACACAGAAATAAAACAAACACAAAAAAAATCAAAACAAAAAAAAATCAAAACAAAACACAAAAACAAAAACACAACATAACAAAAAACACACAAACAAAACAGTAAAACAAAACACAAAACAAAACAATACACAAAAACAAAACACATAACAGAAAAACAAAACAGAAAAACAAAACAAAAAAGACAACAGCAAAATAAAACAYAAAACCAAAAACACAAAACAAAACACAAAACAAAACGAAAACAAACATTACTTGCATTCATCTGAATAGATTCACACAGTCAGTAATAAAACAGAAGGTTACAAGGTGACGTCTTTGTACTGACTTCAGTTTGGTGGCCTGAGAGGGTTCCAGGATGAGACGGAGCTGCTCACAGAGCTGCTGAGAGAGACCTGAAGTCAGAGCCTGGTACTGATGCCACATGGAAGATGCTGCAGTCTCCTGGAACACAAATAGGACACCCAGAGTCAGACACCTTTCATGGTGATAAATTACAGTAACTGAAGGTGTTTTATTTTTAAACGTATCACTTATTCTGCTGTTGGATTTTGAAACAGTTCTGACACCAAGTAGAAGAAGTCCAACTCTGTCTGGACTAGGGCTGGGTGATATTGGCAAAAAAATTAATCACAATTAATTGTGGTATTTAGCCAATTATGATTATTATGACGATTAATCCCCTGGATGCCTGCATGTCCTAGTCCAGAGGTGGGTAATCCTGGTCCATGAAGGCCACAGCCCTGCATGTTTTACTTGTTTCTCTGCTCCAACACAGCAGATTTGAATGAATAGGTGATAATCAGGCTTCTGCAGAACTTGGGGGTAAATCAGTGACTGAATCAGGTGTGTCGGAGCACAGAAACAAGTAAAACATGCAGGGCTGTGGCCATCGAGGACCAGTTTTTCCCCACTCCTGTCCTGGTCACATGACCAATTAAAAATATTTCTGTTCCAAATTGTGTTGAAGCTTCAAGCTATACATCAAGCTTTAAATTGTGTTGATAGGCCAAGTAAAACCACAGTTAGGATAAAGAAATTTAAAATAATTTACAGAACTTTTGTTTCTTTTAAATGTGTCATATTTAAAGCTTGTTGCAGTGGGAGGCAGCAAACATCAGTCCACCCTGTAGCCTCACCCCCACCCCACCAACCCGATTACTGCAGGAAATCTGCAGTCAGTCCACCTGGTGTCATTAATTGTATTAATCATCAAGTGGCAAAAAATAATTGATAAAAGTTTTTCTGATGATTAATTGCACACAATACGATTTGGACTCTGTACCAGTCTGTTGTGGTGAGGAGGGAGCTGAACTATAAGGCAAAACTCTCTGTTTACAGGTCAATCTACGTTCCTACCCTCACCTATGCTCATGAGCTTTGGGAAGTGACTGAAAGAACAAGCCGTGGATACAAGCGAGTTTTCTCCAYAGGGTAGCTGGACTCTCCTTTACAGAGAGAGTGAAAAGTTCAGTTATCCAAGAGAGACTCAGAGTAGAGCCACTGCACCTCCACAGCGAGAGGAGCCAGTTGAGGTGGTTCATCTGGTTAGGATGCCTCCTGGACGCCTCCTTACTGGGAGGAGACACCGAGGAAGACCCAGGACACAATAGAGAGACTTTGTCTTGAGGCTGGCCTGTGAATGCTGTAGAGTCCTCCCAGAAGAGCTGGAAAAGGTGGCTGGGGAAAGAGAGATGCAGGCTTCCCTGCTCAAGATGCTGCACCTGCGACCCGACTTTGGATAAAGAGGAAGATACTTTGGATAAAGTAGAAGACGCTTTGGATAAAGTGGAAGATACTTTGGATAAAGTGGAAGTCGCTTTGGATAAAGGCGAAGATACTTTGGATAACGGGAAGATGCTTTGGAAAAAGGCGAAGATACTTTGGACAAAGGGGAAGACACTTTGGACAAAGGGAAAGACACTTTGGACAAAGGGGAAGAGCTTTGGATAAAGGGGAAGACGCTTTGGACAAAGGGAAAGACACTTTGGACAAAGGGAAAGACACTTTGGACAAAGGGGAAGAGCTTTGGATAAAGGGGAAGACGCTTTGGACAAACGGGAAGAGCTTTGGATAAAGGGGAAGACGCTTTGGACAAAGGGGAAGACGCTTTGGACAAAGGGGAAGACACTTTGGACAAAGGGGAAGACACTTTGGACAAAGGGAAAGACACTTTGGACAAAGGGAAAGACACTTTGGACAAAGGGGAAGAGCTTTGGATAAAGGGGAAGACGCTTTGGACAAAGGGGAAGAGCTTTGGATAAAGGGGAAGACACTTTGGACAAAGGGGAAGAGCTTTGGATAAAGGGGAAGAGCTTTGGATAAAGGGAAAGACACTTTAGACAAAGGGGAAGAGCTTTGGATAAAGGGGAAGAGCTTTGGATAAAGTGGAAGATAGTTTGGACAAAGTGGAAGACACTTTGGACAAAGGGGAAGACGGTTTGGACAAAGGGGAAGACACTTTGGACAAAGGGGAAGACACTTTGAACAAAGGGGAAGACACTTTGGACAAAGAGGAAGACAATTTGGACAAAGAGGAAGACACTTTGGACAAAGAGGAAGACACTTTGGACAAAGAGGAAGACACTTTGGACAAAGGGGAAGACACTTTGGACAAAGGGGAAGACACTTTGGACAAAGGGGAAGACGCTTTGGACAAAGGGGAAGACGCTTTGATTAAAGGGGAAGATGCTTTGGTTAAAGGGGAAGACGCTTTGATTAAAGGGGAAGATGCTTTGGTTAAACGGGAAGGTGCTTTGGATAAAGGGGAAGACACTTTGGACAAAGTGGAAGTATGTAATCACTTTATTTAACATTTGTGTTTATCATCTCGACTTCAGTTTATTGAATACAAATTTTCTTACAATACTTTGGATAAAGGGAATATACYTTGGATAAAGTGGAACATACTTTGGATAAAGGGGAAGATACTTTGGATAAAGGGGAAGATACTTTGGATAAAGTGGAAGACACTTTGGATAAAGGGGAATATACTTTGGATAAAGTGGAAGATACTTTGGCTAAAGTGGAAGGTAGTTTGGATAAAGTGGAAGATACTTTGGATAAAGTCGAAGATACTTTGGATAAAGTGGAAGATACATTGGATAAAGTGGAAGATACTTTGGATAAAGTCGAAGATACTTTGGATAAAGTGGAAGATACTTTGGATAAAGTGGAAGATACTTTGGATAAAGTGGAAGATAGTTTGGCTAAAGTGGAAGATACTTTGGCTAAAGTGGAAGATACTTTGGCTAAAGTGGAAGGTAGTTTGGATAAAGTGGAAGATACTTTGGATAAAGTGGAAGACACTTTGGATAAAGTGGAAGATAGTTTGGATAAAGTAGAAGATAGTTTGGATAAAGTAGAAGATACTTTGGATAAAGTGGAAGATACTTTGGATGAAGTGGAAGATAATTTGGATAAAGTGGAAGACACTTTGGATAAAGTGGAAGATACTTTGGATAAAGGGGAAGATACTTTGGATGAAGTGGAAGATACTTTGGATAAAGTGGAAGATANATATGATTTTTTCCAACCCTACTCTGGACTAGTCTCACCTCCTCCTGAGTTCCTGCAGACAGTCTGTGCCAGGCCTGCAGTTGAAGCTCCATCTCCTTCCTCAGGTCTTCAGGGTTCCTATCAGCTGTCTGCAGAGATAGGTGACTGTGGTTCACTTTGCATGTCAGCACAAACAGAACTACATTTCAAAAAGAACTAATTTAAGACTTTATGGAGTTCAAGTTTAAATGAGAAATATTTGTAAACTGTGAAATGCTGGGCTCCAGCCTTCTTTTTTATTTTTGTATTGTAATGTAAATGTTCTTTTATTATTAATGTTTTAATAAAATATGTAGTCAAAAAAAGAAATTAGACTTTAAAAAACTCTAAACAGCAAACAAAACAAATTTTCAAAAATATAACTGATGCGTTTTCACACAATTAAAAGTAGAAGCAGCATTATTATAAAAGGCTGAGGTGTGTCTTCACCTGCATGGACTCCAGCAGCAGCAGCTCAGGAACCGTATGAACTGTGGATTCTGAGCTTCGCTCCCGTCGCTCTTCTTCTCTGGTCTGTTGTTGGTCTTTGCATTGCTCCTCTTCCTCTTCCTGCGTCTTCGTTTCCATTTCACCACTATCCACAGCTGAACAACAAGAAGGACCGTTCAGAAGGTTTTACACTAACTTTTGAATCATTTTAAAGTTTCTAAGCTCTTGTAAACCAACGTCTTACTTCCACAAATCAATTTGGTACATAAACAGTGTAGGTGTTTTTGTCTGACTCAACCCACTGCTTTAGCCCCTTCMACTTCTACCACTGTCAGAATTTATCAAATGTCAAATAAACTAAATATCACAGGAAGCAGAGCTGTTCACACCTTTCTGTGAATATTTAGAAGAGTTCAGCTGGTCAGGCTTCAGCTCCGGGACATCAGCGGCTTCCAACTTCTGCTCCTCTGTTTCCATGGCAATGTCCTCATCATCCTCATCTGGATTCTGGTTTTGTTGAGTCTCCGCTGGTTTCTGTTGCTCTGCACTGGCAACATCTGAAAGCAAACCACATTTACTTACTTTTACATTTATTTTTGTTTAGTCTCTGAAGACTATTCTTGTTCTAATCTTAAGGTACATGAAGAAGTAAATGTTTAGTTTGAAAGGCTTTTATCAGAAATGCAGATCTAACTCAATGTGAACAAAGCACTCATCTGAACTTGAGTCATCTCATTGACCTTTGTGGGGCTGCTGAAGTTGTTAAATCACTTCCCTCCTCCTCTATTCAAGCCAGCATTATTTATTCTTTATGCGTCAGCACGGTCATCAGCAGGTGTAGATTACCCCTTCACAATATTAAATAATTGTATTTCTCATAAAATAAGCTGAAATAATTACTGCAGAACATGATTTTTTTTAGATCTGATTACTCGATTAATCGTCAGAGTAATGGATAGATTAATCGATTACTAAAATAATTGTTAGCTGCAGCCCTAGCACGGGGAAAGCAAAGACGCTCCTCCAACTGAATGTCTGTAGCTCTCATGCTAAAGATGTTAGAGAGCATGAAGCTGGTAAACACCTGACATCAGAGGTCACTCCTCTATGCTGAGGAGTAAAAAATAGGGAGGAAAAAAGAAAACAAACAAAAAGGTCAAAGGAAATCATCAAACTTTTTTTTAAATTTGTTATGTGATTAATTGTCCTTATCGTGACAGGCGTGGATTTAATTTAGTTCTTTATTATTTCTTTGGATTGGACTTAATCTTTCAAAGTTTTTCTGCCACTGTGTGTTGTTTAGTAACWAAGAGTTACTGACCGTAGGTCTGAGTGTCATACGCCGTCTCCTCCTGTTTGACGTGTTCATATAGATCAGACTCCTGCTGGGCTCCATGCTGCCTGTTTTCAGTTTGGTCTTTGCTGTTCTCCACCGTACGCAGGCGCTTGCTAATACGCTCGTTATGGTCACCTGTCGACCGCTCGTTATCTGCCTGCCCAGGTTTTCTCTTGAAACTCTGGAACATGAAGTGAAACTGATGTRATTGAAAATAATTGAGTTTATGAAGATTGTGTGTTCAGAGGTTAACAGTACCTGAGTTTTGCTCCGAGTCTGTATTTGTGAAGCCATCTTAGCCATGAACTTGGACTGATGGCCCTCTGATTGGCTGGCATCAGCCGCTCCGCTGCMGTGCTCCTAATAGAGAAGGGAACCAAACAAAAACTCAATAAGAGTTAAAACTGGTAACTCAGAAGGTTACCAGTTAATAACAGTTCAGAAAACATAAAGAAAACTGAATGGACTGAAAAATATGACTCAAACAGAATATAAAGAGATCTTTGCAGCACTTGGAGACTAGTAAGTGCATTTTGCATAAGTCATCTTAAAATATTTTTAAAAACTCCCATCTTCAGTGTGATGTATTAAAAGAACTACTGTAGATCAAAGTATTTGAGCCTACATATACTCATCATTTTAATGAAAATCAAACTAAACAGCATAAAACATATAGAAATTTGTGTAACAATGCTTCTTGCCAATAGATCTTGTACCGTTTGGTAAGAAAACATGTGTGAGTTGTGCAGCAGAATAGAGTGTGTTAATAATCAGTGTGCATTGCCAAAGCAATGCACACTGCCAAAGCAATGCACACTACTGTGTTTCGTTTCCCATCCAAGTCATCTCAACTTTGCCATGCTTCTCCTCCAGCATACCTTGTCCTAGAGCTGCCATTGTAATTTATATCTGTTAAGCCCCTGTGCCAAATGATGGCTATGCCTTTTGGTGCCTGTAAAACTTATAGTTTTTGAAGTATTAATGTTTAATAAATTATAATGGCAGTCAATGCAGCCTTGTATTGGTTCAATACTGCCCCCTGCTGCATCTACACAATATGGTACTGCACCATAGTTTCGTAATATTTAACTCAGTAGGTCAGTGATTACAATATTAACATGATTGTATTTTGATGTTTTACTGTAATACTGTCTTTATGTTGTCCTATTGTTGTAATATATTGCACTTAAGTGTCAATAATTGCATTGGCAAGGTAAACCTTTTCTGTATACATACAATCCAATCCCTGGGATTGTCCTCTGCCACATCTCCTATAGTCTCATGATGAGCACTGTGGGCTTTCATGCGGGAGATCAGGGTTCAAATCCAGCTACTGCAACTTTAACAAAAATCTCTTCAAACTTCATATTGTCACACAATTACCTTAATTACAAATGCCGGCTGACGTGACAGGCACAAGCTGGTATAGAAAACACACTTGAACTTGGTCAAAGTTCATTCTGAAAGTCCAATGCTCCTGCCTACATTGTCCTACAGCTGCCATTGTAATTTCTATCTGTAAAGGTCCTGTGCCAAATGATTGCTTTGCCTTTTGGTACCTGTACAACTTGTAGTTTTTGAAATATTAATGTTGAAACTTTATTCCAAATTCATAAAATGGGAGTCAATGGGGCCTTGTAATGGTCCAATACTGCCCCCAGCTGTACACAACTTGGTACTGCACCATAGTTTTGTATATTTAATCTCAATAGTTCAATGTTTACAATATTAATATGATTGTATTTTGATGTTTTACTATATCATTATCTTAATATTGCTCTATTGTTGTAATATTATGCAGTTTAGTGTCAATAATTGTATTGGCAATGTGGCCTCTTTCTGCACACATACAGACCAACCCCTGGCACCACCTTCTGCCACAGCTCCAATGGTCCAGTGGTCAACGCCATGGACTTTCATGTGGGACATCAGGGTTCAAAACCCAACTATAGCAACTTTAACAAAAAATCTCTTCAAACTTCATATTGTCACAAAATTACCTTAATTACAAACACCTGCTCACGTGAGAGCCACAAGCTGGTATAGAAAACACATTTGAACTTGGTCCCATTTCATTCTGCAAGTCCAATGCTGCAGGCAAAGCCATGCTGCAATGACATGCTACATGGCAATGCACACTTGTTTTTACATCGCAAAAACCCATGTCTAGTTAATACTGTCTCTTGTTTTCAGTACACTATGTGCTGATTGTCAGCACCTGTGAGCAGCCAGTGGCAACTCCATGTCTCCACCGTCTGAAACTGAACTCTGTCCTGTGGCATGACTATGATGGACCCCACACAGGTGATCAGAGATTATCATCAGAATTTGGTATTAAAGAGGATATATTTTTTTCCTGCCTGCAGTCCTCCACTMAAACCCTAATAAATGTCCTGTGGGATCAGCTTGGACATGTTTAACTTCACAAAATTCTACAGACTTTTTAGTAAAATACTCTACAAGTAGCTGGAAAAAGCAGTTTTAAGTAGCTCTTTTACAAAATTTTCTTAGTGAGTATAACCCTGGACCCCCCCCAGGACTGCTTCAGGCCACAGCTGCTGGTTAACATGAACAGGTGTTCCTCATGATGTCAGAAGGTGTTGGAGGTATGAGGACGACTCTTGGTGTTCTGTTTCAGATTATATTAAAGGGGCTATATCATGTAAAATAACTTTTTAGAGTTTTATATCAAATTATAATGTTATCCTCTCATTAAAAACATACTCTGAGTCTTACTTTGACTCATTCATGCATGTTTGAGAAATCCTGTGTTGTCCTGAGGCAGCAGGCAGGGGTGCAGAAACGACTGGTTGGGACTAGAACCACCTTTTGGAACCAGCTCCTCCTCTGGCCTGTGTCTCCAAGCCGAGCCTCCTCATCACAGAGCACACCTCCACAACCCCGCCCATGACTCCTGCAGGCTCTCAGCAGCAACAAAGCAAACAACTGGTGAAACTGAAAGTGTCTGCTGAGCTCCCAACACTACTATTCAGCTCTTTTCAAATTCAAAATACCTCTGAGGAAATGTGTTTTCAGATGCCAAGTAAACTCACTGAGCTACCATATCACAGCGCACCCCCCCTCCGCAGGCATCCCCTCCCCCCACACGTTGAAATGGGCGGGACAGAAGCGGAAGGAGTTTCTTAAAGAGACCGGCCAATTTCAAGGTGTTTAGAAACGGAAATGATGAGGATACGTTTATTTTCTATTTAAACACAAAACAGCCTTTTAATAACAACTAAAGGTGACATAAGCTGCGTTTCCATTGCAAATGTGCGCAAAACTTTGTCGATATTCTGTTAATGTCGAAAAAACACAGTTTCACAAC